GACTTTATAAAAATTCTATGGCGTGAAACTTATAATGGCATCAAGGGGCACATCCTATAAGATACGTGCTTTTTTTGTGGGCGAAAGCATTTCAGAGATTTGAATGATCTATTTTTTGTACCATAGATCGATAGACGATTAAATTCTGAGTAAAAATGCGTTGAACCTAATGGTTAACGAGATATTTACAAAATAATCACTATATTGGGGGCATCAGTTCGGGCACCTACAGCTTTCAGATTTCCAGATAGTAAGTATGTAATAAAAATTATTTTGTAAATATCTCGTTAACTACTAGGTTCAGGACGTATGAACGTTTTTACTCAGAATTTGATACTCGATCTATGGTACAAAAAACAGGTCGCTCAGTTAATAAAAATCAAGGTGACCTTGAAATCTTTGAAATGCCTCGACCCACAAAAAAAGCACGTATCTTATAAAATGTGCCCTTTAATGCCATTTAAGTTCGACGCCTCAAATTTCTCAGAAAGTCTACCGTTAAGTCATTATTCGAGATGATCAACACACCCTGTATAGGTACACACACGCGAGGGGATGAATAAAACTCGTGATAACGAGTGGCGAGCGGTTGTTTGCACGTTGTGGCGCCCCCTTAATTTTCCTGCCTAATGTTCGGATTAATTTTCCGTTTCGTCTTGTCTTTTCCTTTTTTCCGCGGGCCCCCGCGTATTTACTTTCGCAAAGTAAAACAATGGATGTAGGCCGTTGTCGTCGCGTGAGAAAGGAAAAAGTAACGAAAATTCCTCGTGTACAATGGCGACGTGCCGGTATACACGGGAAAGGGGACAGGAGGAGGGACGTCGAGGCGCAATTATATATCAAATTCTCTTCCGCGAGGAAATCGTTAGCCCCAGAAATTTAATCTGGCTCTTTTGAATACCGCGATGTATTCTCCTTGGCACCTGATTTCGGGATCGCACCTTTTAACGTCCCGATGCACTTTTCGACATCTCGTCGAGAGTAAATACTCGCGACGTTTCGCGAAGTCTGGCGAAGACGTGCGATCCTCGCCACATCGAATTTCGACAATCATGGGCGAAAAAGTGGAAAAAAGTCCAGGGGAAAATCGTAGTCCGTTCTAAATTGAAATTCAGATTTCAGTGTCGTGTGTGTTAGTGCTTAAGGAAAGCTATCGAACTGTTGTAATATGATACCGCGGTGTGATAAATAGGAAGAAAGCACGGGCCAGAAAAATTAAGGAATGCTGGGATTCAAGAAAGGACATTCGGTGTCATGTTTCTCCAATGGGAGAATCACACTGTTCAACAAATTGGAACTTTTTTCCTAAAAAGAACAACCCACCTCCAAAATTGACAATTCGCAATTTTTTTAACGATTTTTTTTTTTTTTTTTTTTTTTTTTTTTTTCAAAAATTGGACGTGCTGGGGAAAACGATTTGCAGATTCTCATCCAGCTCATACAAATCTATCAAAAGGGCCTATTAATGGTTATGAGATATTTTACCCATTGAACAGTGTTATCAGAGTCCAACTCGATAGATCAAAATCTGGACGGTAAATACAAATTTCCCTTGCGTAAAATTCATCAAAATATTCTTAAAAATGTTCAGAAACAGATTACAAAAAAGAATATTAAATTTTAGTTAGTTTATATAGTCAGGGTGAGTTCACAAAGTAGTTTTTCAAATACTGGAAATTTTACTTTTTCTGCCTATAATCGTTTTTCCCTCGGACTCTTTCAGGTCTGTAGAAGTTTTGGGAATTCATTCTTAAAGAATTCATTCCCCCACAAATGATACATTATCCTAGTTCGATGGAAAGATCTCGCTGATATATCGGAGGACCATTGATCGCCGAATATCAGATATACGTGAACGTAGGGGAAGGGAATCGAAAGAAATGTCTGACTCTTCCAAATGCGTTCCTGAAGGGAAATATCGCGTATCACTGGCCATATATACGTGTAGTATGTACACAGACATATAGCAGAGATGCTGCTCTTGGCCCGAGCAAAATCTCAGCCCGCAGGAATGACAATAGACTGTCAGATAATGAATCCCCACTGTCACCCCTCCCCCTTGGCCCTCCCTCCTCCTTTTACCATCCCACACCCTAAAACCCACCCTCTGTCGAGCTCTCTCTTTTTCCCAGGCCGTCTCTTCCTCGGCCTTTCTTCTCCCTCTCGCAGCGACGGCTTCGAAACTGGCGACTTTCACCCGCGGAGAACAAACTTTTCCGTCTGGCCCACCCTCTGTGTGCTGCCACCGAAAATTAGGCTAATCGAAACGGCCGAATACAACGGGCGTCGTCACACTAATCGCTTCTCCAATAACGATAGAATCATTCTGTGAACAATTAATTGTCACTCTAAAACTAGACTATGCTCGAAATGCATCGACAACCTTGAAGATACGGTAAAACGATCATTAATTCTGTAATTCTTTAATTTTTTAGGTAAATGTCACATTATGGCAGTACGATGAGATTATACTTGATGCTCGTGATATGTATATGATAGTTACTTGTTTCATTATTCGTCCATTCCTGTCGGTCTATTTGAGTATACGTGTGTAGGTATTAGGTTTCTGGGAAGATTGACGTATGAGGGGGAAAAATGGAAGAGGAACATGACTTTTACTTGGATCCCAGTTGTATCTGTCGCTAACCGTACCCCTTGTACTTTCCACCCTCTGCTCTTGTAGCAAACAGGACTATGACCGAGTAGGCGAGGCGTCCACTTAGCGCTAATGCCCCTTTTATTGGTCAAGATTCCAGTCAAAAGCTGAATAGATGCTCGCCTGGCTCGTTCTTCCACATCGGTTTCCTCGAAAAATTAAACGAAACCGTCAATTCTGCGCTCCTCTCCCCCTGCGTGCAAATAACGCGCTTATCCTTCCTACGGGGCTTAGCTTGGTGCGTCGATCGTCAACCCCTAAGAATAATTTACTTCGTTCTTACCATAAAACACTATTTTTAATACCTTGATAATTATATTGCACAATCGTTCACGCAATTTTTTTATTTCTCGATAAACGTAACTTCAGATAACAAGAGCGGAAGTATGGAATACATATCCTTCGTTAGTGTATTTTCTTTTCGAAAAATACACGAATATCAGGGTAATTCGATGAAACAGTGGTTTGGATTTTAATATTTCCGTTTTCTCTGCAGTTTTGCGAACTTCCAATGTGATTCATCCGAAAAATTTCCGAGATTGAAATAATTTCGGTTTTAAATCCCCGATTAAAGGTGGTTATAACAGCTGTTCTTTAAAGCACCGATTAAATTTGCATTAATGTTATTTCATAATGTATCAAGATGTTATAAATCACAATAGTAATCTTTTGAATCGATAGATTATCAAGTTACAGTTTCTTTTAATATAATTTGAATTAATCAGTCACATGGAACATCCTTATTTTACGACAACTTTAACATGTATGTCATCTTCTTCAGTATGATTAGTAATATGTTCTTAATTAATTGATAAAGCACCAAAGATGTAGTCTGCAAATGTTATAATATTTACGATTTAGCCTTACCCACGATTCGTTTATCTGAATACGAATAAACTGTCCACGGTCTTTAATGAACACGTATAATGCGTAGTTGAATTTATCATGGTACGCGCAAATCCTCTTTTTCGTGCTTTTTCCCTTTGTCTCTCTCTCTCTCTCTCTCTCATTTTTACGTGAGCCCCGGGAAGCGAATGGAGCAAAGCCGGCAAAAAGAATTGGAACGTGAGATGTAAAATATCGAACCGAATGTTGAAGCCCAGTGAGGGGCCGAGTCGGAAAAAAAAAATTTTCCCCTGGTATAACTCGAGGCAGAAAAAGTGAACAAAAAATTTCCATAAAAATGCACCCGCACGTATAATCCGGATGAAGCTTAGCATTGCGCGAAATGGTATGTCACCGATGGAAATGGCTGAAAAAGCATGGAATTAGCGTGCGGAGAGGATGGCAATCGAAGATTGAAAAGACTTACATGGGCAATCATTATACGGCTGATTTAATTTGCAGCAAATCTGAATTTAATGAAGTTTCATGAAACTTTATTTTAAATGGAACAGAAATCTGAATAAAGCGAGAAAGTTTGTTTTATTGTCAATTTTATGAATTATGAAACATACGCAGCTCTTGCAGAAAACATAAAACAAACGTATCTTGCATGTAACATTAGTTTTTCAACCTAAACGACACAATACTTTTGACGAGTCATTTTATGCAAAATTTTAATATGTCACTTGGTTTACGTATTGTAGAATTTGGGGAAGGTAAATAAAATGTTAAAAGCTTTATTAATTTCGCGGAATAAACGTAAAACATTTTGTGAAAATATAATTATTTTATTACTTACTTTGATACATACATGACAGTTTGTATATAAATATGGCTTACATTTAGGACCTGAAATTTTGTTCTCGTAGTGTACAGTTTTATTTCAGTCTCAATAGATAGAGTAATTCGATAATCTTTCGATATTTCATATCCACAAATGTGTTTCACTGAATTAGACATCATTACTTTTAAAGTATATAATACGTCTTTAAAAATATATCGTTAGTCTTAATTTAATGAAATATTGAGGAAATTATTAATGTCAACATGTATACTGTAAAATATATTTATTACAAAACAATGAAAATAATGTATATCTTACTCACTGACCTATTAACATAAAATTTGCACAAAATCTGGAAGATAATAATCACTGCCATGTTTTTATGTTGGAAGTAGTATTGCAGAAGTTTTATCTTTGGACTTTACTGCAAAATTCATTTTTTTAGACTCAATGATTACTGCACAGGAGATTGAACAAATAAAAAATAGTATTCTTGTATATTATGTCATGGTATATCGTAAAAAAAGAATTGAATAATATGTAAAAATGGACAGTTTAGAAAAATATGAGCATGGGCTATGTTCCTGCCGAATGAACTGTTGGAACTGATTTGTATGCTTAGAAATTGAATATGAAATACATTGCCATGAGATCTTCAGTTTTAATAATAACAAATCAGTCTGAAGACTGTTAACTAATTCATATAAAATAATCAATATCGGTAAATTACACTTTGTGGATCACAATGTTTCATTTTTTTACATTCAAGAACATTATTTTATATTTAGGCATTTTCACTAGCTGGCTTCTTCTTGTTCTGAAAAATAAATATTTGTTTTGCCATTATTAAACAGATCATTGAGGATCATACCATGTTTACTGGCATTTTAAAGTAAACCTTACAGTTTGTTTAGACGGCTTGACATCTGCACTAGTAGTACGTGTTTTGGACCTTTCTTGTTCTAATTGTGCATGTAAAGATGTTACTTCCGATGTTAATTCATCTCTTATTTCTTGTAACTTTGCTACTTCTGCTAATACTGATGCTTTATCCTTCACTAAAGAAAAAAAAGTAACATTATTAATTATGTTTGCAAGTATTAAACTATAAGTAATTAAGGAATATCAGCTTACTTTCTCCATGAGACAATATTTGATACAGTTTTTTATTTCTTTCTTTGACTTGCGTTAACTCTGCCTTCAAGGTTTCAACTTGAGTCCTCAATTCATTTATGACTTCATCACGTTTCTCCACTTCTACCCTCAACTGGGCAGATGTGATTTCATCATCTATCTTTTTCAGCCTTATTTTCAAGATATCCTTTTCTTTTTCCCTTGTTATTTCTTTCTTTGTTTCTTTTTCAACTCTTTTAAAGAATTCTTTATCCAAGTCTGTAAAATTCTTATCAATTACTTATCATGTCATTTCCTTTTATACTTATCTTCTTTATGAAAAATTCCAATGACAATGAAATATTACCTTTGGGTTTTGCATCTCCAGTATCAGTAGGTACAACTGTAATTTGAACGTTGTTTGATCCCATGCTATTGAATTCGTCTAACGACATGGTAGCCTTTTTTGATTTTTTCCCCGATTTCTTATTTGGTTCTTGCTCTTTGTCTGATTTTGACACACTTACTAGTTGCTCTTCATAAGCAAGCTTTGACAGCAAAATAGCTTGATGCAACTCTTGCTCAAATGCTTCCTCGACAGCCTTAAGGAAATCACAATTGGGCATGATAACACACAACACTTATAAATATATCACTACTGAAACAAAATCTTAGCTGTAACAATTTATATGTGAAACTAGACTATGTTTTTCACATGTATCAATAGAGCCTACGGCATCCTATATATTCTAATTCCGACACAGAAAAATAATTAATTACGCCACTACCAAGTAAAATTAGACATACACACACACCTACAATTGTACATACCATTGTATCTTTTTGTTTCCACTGTTCCCATTGTTGATTTTCATTATTATTGTTATTGTTTGGTTTTTTCTTTTTTCCCTGTAAGCCAATTAAAAAAATTATAGATTAATACAACAAAAAACAAATAAGCTCATTTTAAAATTGCTCCTAAATTTTTATTCATTATTACAATATCATTCTACCATTTTTCACATTCAAAAAAAGATTAAAATTTATGAAGATTGTCCAAAATGAAGAATCTCGATTTGAATCGTGCAAACATTCCCGCCAGAAGTATCCGCAAGTACCCTGACGTTTACCGGTTAATCAAACGTAAAAAAAAACAACAAATACTACATGCGTCATACCTTGTTTTGTTTCTTCTTTTCATCCTTTTTCGGCGGCTGCTGCTGCTGCTTCGATTTGTCGTTTTTCGGTTTTTGAGTTGTCTTGCCAGTGGTAACAGTCTTCTGGGTTTTCTTCGGCTTGCAATCATCGTCATCGAGACTGAGTATCGCGAATCTTGACGGTACAGCGGTCGCCATTTCTGTCAACCGCGAATATACGTACTGATAACGAAACTACAGAACTTCCGGTATCGTTAGGATCACGAGACTCGTGATGACCGTCGTAACCCACGCTACTGTATCGTATAACGCGCAGAAAATCTGTAAACGCGTCGCATGAAACTTGCGTATACGTATACTTATCGTAGTAAGCTACCGTATATTGAAAAATGAAGAACGTCGTTAAGCTACGACATAAACCGGAAACGAATGGTAAACATTGACGCAAACCGTCAGCGCCCCTGTCGGAAAATATCGTCAAAATTGCACTCACCCGCCCGGTGACACAGTAGCACCAACTGTTGTGGGAAAAACATGAAATTGAATATTCTTGCAGTTTGCAGTTGATCAGTTTAGTATATGTATTTTCGATCATCTTAATTAGGTGTCAATTATCTTACAAAATTTTAGTTTCAAATATCTATTGAAGATTTTGATTCTCTTAAGTGAAGGTATCCCATTTAAGTCGGAACATATTTACAACTTATTAAAGAATAATTTTAGATAATCAAATATTTAGATATATTGATATATAAATAAAAAAGTGTATATAGATTTTTGAAAAAGTAATAAACATTTTTTTAAACGAATTTTTTTTTATTTATATATATGTATATAATAAAATATAGTTTGATTCCTCTAACGTTAGACATATTAAACTACCGTACTAAAATACTTTTTACGCACGTAATTTTTACATGTGCAACATTTTCTTCTTGTCGCGTTTTTTATAACATTTACAAAATTTTATGGGAAACGCATAAAGATAAATATACGTAACTCATCCGTTTTCTATGGAATGTATTTTAACTCGTCTGCTGTACATACTATTTGAATGAGTATACTCGGTCATAACTAAAATTATTTACAACGTAATTAGTTTAATTCGTTGTTCTTTGATCATTTGTCATTTTTTGGCGATATGAAGAGATTAAAGGTCCGCATAATCTGTTTCATTTCTCTCATGCTTAATTTTGTTTACATAATCAGCGGTAATTATCGAATATTAAACTCGAAGTTATATACAGTAATAAATACATTTCCGATAATGTTTGTTACAAGAAAAGTAGATCTCGTTTAAAGCTTTTAGACATCTTGGTTTAGTGAACCCCCGTGTCTTGCTTATTTATGGCTCTCTACAGTAAGCGAACAAAAACAGAAACGATCGATCGTAAATTAGAAGAATGTTCGAAATTAAATGAGCGGCGTGGTAGATTATCGGCGCGCAATGGTTGGTAACACTGCCGGATCGAGAGTCTCGATCAACGAGAGAGAAGGAAGTATCCATCTACACATCCATCCATCCACCGTACGGAGCCCCGTTGCACGTCGGGAAACTGAACATGTACGTACGTCGTACGAGCGACGTAGAGCGTTGAGTGTGTCGATTGCGTTCGGGGTTGGCTTGCACTTTTCGCGGTTGTATGTGCGCGCAACAACGTCGCGTGGTCGGCGATCGAGGTGCTCGCGAAACGGTTTTAGCGTGTAGTGACTGGGTGATAAGAGGTGAGCCGAGAAGAGAAACTCATTCTTTTCCTGGGACGCTCGCCAATTCTGGAGGCGGACGACTCGATCGGCGGCGTCGTTCCAACGAACAACCGGGGAGAGCCGCGACAACCACGACTGTGTGCATCACTGTGTGTGGTGGAGCATCCAATCACGGAATTCGCGGGCTAAGATGCCCGACGTGGCTCCCACGGACAACGTCGGCATCGAGACCAGGGTCAACGAAGCGGTGCGCGACGAGTGGAGCGACGCTCGCTCCTGGTTTCCCGCGAATACACCTCCGATCCCATTCTCACGTATACTTGTGCATATGGGCGAAGGATTCATCGTATTTTGAAACACGAGACAGTGCTCGCACGTAAATTATAACTGACTGTTTCGGGGGAATTATTTTTGCCTGACGTGGTAGCATGGGTTCTTACTACCCTGTCCCAAGATAACAGGCATAAAAACAACGACAATTTTATTACGATATACTGTTCCCGCATATACAGATTTGTACTTTTAACAGAGTACAGTGGACAGCTGAACATTGATGCGAATGTTTATGGTGCAATCATTGGATCTGGAAGGACAGATAATTAAATAAGGCTTGGTAAATGTTCTCTTTGATGAGTACAATAGTGACTGAGTTGTCTTTCATGTTTAGAGTTAATGGAAATCTATATGGAGCAATCGAAAGTGTTTTAACTATCAGTATGTGTATTTTATGTTCGACAAGCTACAAGATGAAAGAACTGTAATACAGAAGGTGCCTAGATGCTTAGGTGAATTGTTGGTTTTCATTGAGATTTGCATTTGTTTTATATGAATTCTTATATTACGGATGCTTCGTTCTCAATGAAGTAACACAGATTCTCATTGCTGGCATATTAAGATTATACTTGAATTGATAGACTACTTCTTTTGCATTGTTATATGTCCGAGCAGCTGATGGTTAAAGTGCTCGTTTGAGAACAGATGTAAGACAGAATAAAAATCTTTAATTTCAATGCTTATATTGTGAAGGAGTGAAACCGAAAAGTGTTTTAAGATGTGCGAACAAACAGAAATCAGTTACTTGGATGGAGATATTGTATGGGTAAAACTCGGAGCTTGTTGGTGGCCAGGACAAGTTACCGGGTTTCATAATTTACCTGAAGATATTCAACATGAATTTAAAAAGAAGCCTTTAATAGCTGCTGTTAAGTTCTTTCAAGAAGATACATAGTAAGAAATTTAATATTTCTTTTGTCTTTGTTAATATACATCTACCTGTTTATTTACATTTAATTATATTTTCAGTTTAGAGGTATTTAAGTGTTTAGTACATCTACATAATGTTGTTAATATAAAATTTTTACTGTTTGCAGCGAATTTGTCAAAAACTATCAACAAATTTACAAATACAATTGCACACAGAAAGATGAATTTATCAAAAAAGGACTTGGTATGCTTTTTATACATACATATTTTAATTGTACACAGTCTTTAGGATAAACATTTTTAAGATAAATATATAAAGTACACTCCTTTTTGAAGAAATTTATTATATTCAGTCATATGTCTTACAATATCATTATTTGCAGATAAATACAGAAGCAAGAGCAAAGATGGCTCTAGGTATATGGATAAATTCCCTGGAGATGTTGAAATGGCTGAGAAGTTAACAGGTGGTGATCCTGAAATATTAAGCCATGATAAATTTTGTCCAGAGGAAAAGCCGAATATATCGGCTTTATTCGGGGATAAGAAAATCCCGAAGAAGAAAAAAGAACGAGACGATATGCCCAGAAGAAGCGATGGAATGGAAGTGGTACGGAAAATTACACATCCAAGATTTTTAAGGGAAAGCGATCATGAGGTCCGAATTCGTCATCAACCTAGCAGTTTACCGTCTACGCCAAATAATGCCGGTTCTCCGCAATATCCTTGTCATTTGTGCAATTTTACTTCTTCTCGCGTTAATGTTATTATCTGTCATATCAAAAGTCATAGGTCTGGAAGTTCACCAATGTCAAAATCAAAAGTAAAGACGTATTCTCAATATAGTGGCAGCCATTTGGATGTAGATACTCCTAAAAGAAAGTATGCCAGAAAGGATAAGAGCCAGTCAAGCAGAAGTAAAAGTAGCAGCGAGTCGGGTAAAAGGAAGCAAACTAAACAAAACGAGAAAGCTGCTAAAAAGAAGAAAACAGATCCTAAAATTCGTGATACTATATTAGCAGATTGGGAGGATGAGTCTGATGAAGATATTAGTCTAAATCAGAGTACTCTGTCTGAGTCAACGCCTGTAAATAATTCACAAACGAAAAGTCAATTTGATTTTGATAAGTCTGATGAATCTGATCAGAAAAACGATACAAGTGCGGATCCTAATGAAATTATTGCAGAAACTGAAAAACTTCTTAAAGAAACCGAGAAATTGACATCAATTAATATAGTAGAGGATTCAGCAAATGATATTAATGTTTCAAAATCTTTCACGTCGAATCTTCTTGATAGGAAATCGGAGCAAGAGAAAGACATTCGAACATCGGATGTTGATATCAATGAATCTGCTGGAAAATCACAGAAAGAGAAGGAACCGTTGAATTCTGATAATGAGAGTAAATTGAATGCACCTAGCAAAGATGATAAAAAGTCATTACTGTCTTGTTTTGATTTTCATGAAGAGGAACCATCTATACCTCCCGTAAGGAAAAAGTCACGCGCGTTTCACCAAAAGAAAGAAATTATAAAGGAGTTTGAAATGAGTCAAGCTTTAAAAACGGAACAAGAGAAGGAAGCAGAGAATAATAAAATTGTGACCGAGACAAATGATAAGCTGAAAGAGAACGAAAAGTTGGATACCGTATTGTCTCCGTGTGTGAAAGATTTGGAGAAATCGGAAACAAATAAAATTGTCAATGAAGACAAACCAACAAACGATGAGGTTGAACAACTTAAAGAGAAAAGTACACCTGAAAAATTGCCGGAAGATGTGCAGACATCTGGTACTGGTACCTGCGAGACACAGTTAAAAATTGTAGAAATATTCGAGGTTGAAAAGGCGCGGGGTGAAAGCGAAAATGCTATGACTACTTCAAAAGCCGAAATACAAGAAGTTCCTAAAGCAAAACACGAGGAAGAGTTAACAAAAACTACAGAAGTAAATATGCAAATTGAAGCTGTTAACGAAAAACCAGTGGAAACTGAAAATATAATTACTGCCAATGAGAATACAGAAAGTATGGAGCAGCCTCCGAAAGAGGTGGACGAGGTTCTTTCCGAACGGTTGACAACAGAAACAGAAGACGAAACCGTTTCCGAGTCTGCTGATACAGTCCCTGAACACAGTGAGAATTCTGATGCAGATATGCTGGAACAAGATCCAGCATCCAATTCTGACATTACTTTATCAACTAACGAGCAATTAAATGTCACTCCACAGGCGAAAAAGCGTAGAGGTAGACCCAGAAAATCAAAATCCTTACATATTACCAGTGGGAGTGAAAGTCCAAGGTTAAAGGATAACAAAAGTCATCACAAACTTTTCGAAAAATTTGAAGTCGAGAGAAGGACTTCAGAATCTGACAGCGAACGTTCGTATAGTGGGAGAAAGCGAAAGCCGAATAAAAAATATTTAGAGTCTGGCATATATGTGCAAGATATTGATCAACGGATTTATAAGACTGATGATAGCCAATCTGAAAGTGAAGAAAAGAGTTCCGAAAAAATAAGAGGTAGAAGAAAGAGAAATAAAAAGTTTGCAGCAATTGACAAAAAAATAAGCGAGAATATCGAGCTTCAGGAGCAAAAAGAGTTAGAAATCTCTTGTAATGTGATGGAGGCAACAAAAAATAATGTCAATTCTTTCAGCATTGAATTGCAAGATGATTTGACCGAGAGCAGTACACGCAGTAATGAAAAGATTGTGAAGGAAGAGACAATAGATAGAGACAGTCAAGTTTCCATTGAAGTTTCTGAAAAATTGCAAGTGTCTTTGGAGGAAAACATTTTATCGAAAGAATCTGATGAAGCATTCATTCCTTCTGAAGATACAAAATCGCAGATAATGGAAAATGTTACTGAAACTAAAGACACAATACTCGAACTTGAGAAGGTGAAAGGTAATGAAATGGAAACTGAAAATTTATTAAGCTCAAGTAATGTTCACGAAGTACATTTGAAAGATCTGAATGCAGAATCTTCAAGCACAGTTCAGCTGGAAGTTTCAACAGAGAAAGAAGTGTTGCCGCAACAATCAGACATTTCTAAAACTATTGATATGTTACCGCCTAAAAAATCACAAATTAAAAAGTTCGAGTTGTCACAAATTGATTTTTTTGACGAAAATGCCTCTACTAATAAATCTCCTATAAAGCCTAAACTAGATAGTGAACAAGTGAAAGTAGAGAACATTGATGAAGTTAAAACCAACACAGATTCGATTGATTCTTTGAAAGAGGGGTCAAACTTCTGTCCAGAGACACTTGAAGCAGATAATAAAAATGAGGAAACCGTCAAAGAAGCATCGAAACAAGAAAGTGAAATGCAAAATTATGAAGAAACTGTACCGATGAATGAAAAAGTTCACGAAACGATAATAGAAGCTTCTCAAAATCAAGATCAAGAATTAAAATTAGAAAGCTCAGAACAAGTATCTAAAGAAATAGCATGTGCATCGGACGAACACCAAGCTCGGAAGAAATCATCCATGCAAACAAGATACAAAGGAAAATTTACACCAGACACGGGAGTTAAATCAAAGAAAGATAAAGAATTGTCTCTCGATGACAAGTCATCGAATACATTCCAAGAAGCTTTTTTGAAAACTCTACATATAGACAAGAAAAAGGACGGTGCAGCGGACGATCCTGAGGCGACTGGGAAAGGGAAGAAAGGCAAGAAATTAATGAAGAAGAAACCTGAAGAAGAAGTCGATCCAAATACATCTTCCGAGGCAACGCAAGATGTGAAAATCAGTGAGGAGACAGGCAAAACGACAGAAAATGTACCCAACAGTGAAACTGAGGAAAATAATACTCAAGTTACAGTTGTGAACAATTTTCAGGGTATAGAGGTCGTAGTTGATCAGAATATTGAAATTGACACGAAAGTAGATGATGCTGTGTTTCAGAACGTTGATCAACTTGCGTCGTCATCGAGTGAATTCGGCATCACGTCCAAGTCGTTAGCGCCATCACCTCCTACCGAGGACAGCACTAAATCTATTAGCATAGATATGCAAAAGGTGGATGAATCATCAAAGATGTCCACGTCCATGCCTTCACCGTCGTCTGACGTTACGGTACCAGTAAAGAAACGTGAAATGCCACGAATCATTGAGAATGTACCGTTAACTGAGCCCATGCAGATTTTAAAGTCAAAATTGTTAGATAAGTTACCACAGAAAGGGGTGAAGCATAAATTAGAGACAGATAGTACGAAGAAATCTGATCAGAAAAGTAGTCCAAAGGCAAAGCTAATGAAAATGGAAACTTCATCACCGAGCACCAAAACCAAAACTGGTTCAAAAGTAACATCACATATGTCGTTGACTAAAAAGCTACAAGTATTAAAGGCTGAAGAAGCAGAAACGGCTGCGATGATGGAAGCACAAAATGAACAGTTAAATTTGAAAACTTCAAAAACCTCTACGACAACCGGTACATCCGAGAAATTCATTCAACAAAGCTCTCAAAGTCTGGCAGACATGGAATTAGATATAAACTCGATGCCGTTTGTTTTGAGCGAAGATGTTTTAACTCCGGAAAATATCGAACAGATGCCAGTTGTTATATCCTCCATTATACCTGCGTCTAGTACAATACCAGCAACATTGTCTTTCACACCTACCACTCAAATGGTATCACCTACTCAGACGCAGTTTAAATTAAGCGACAGTGTACCCGAATTGTCGCCTACAAAGAAGAAAAGCGGTACTCCTGCGATTCTGAAGAATAAAAACAAGGCCAAACCCACAATTACAAGTATAAAAACATTGGTGCCGCCTCTAACTGGTGGTGTTAAAGGTATAAAATTCCAAAGTGCTCCGGCGACAAGCAAAGTATCCCCTCTTTTAACTCAAAAAAGCACTCCAGGTAAATATGTGGTGGTGCAGACTGCAGGGGGGCAGCAATTACGTTATAGTGTTCAGGGTAAACCTGGCACTCAACAAAAGATCGCTATACCGACCGGTAAAAGTGCTGGAAACGCTCAAGTAGTTCAACAAGGAAACAAAGTAGTTATATTAACATCGGCGCAATCTGGTCAAACGAAAATGTTACCGTTAAATATTTCGAAGACTTTAGGTAGCAAAGTTCAGAGAATTATGACCAGTAAAGGGCAAGTGCTTTGTCCCATTAGTCCACAGGGTATTATAAATTCTACGAAAACCGTGATTGCTCCAAAAGGGGACGCTGTCTCGCCAACTACATCTAAATTGCCCGCAGGCCATAAGATTATTAACACACAGGGTCTAATAGCATCGAAAGGTGTGCTGACTCCGATTTCTGGAGCAATTGGCAAGACAGCTCTACTGGGAACATTATCTCAAAGTATTTTTACGAAAGGTGGAATTTATACACCGATAAGCGCAGCTGCATTGAGTGGTGGTAAAGCTATTATTAGTTCAAAGGCCTTAGTCACAAAAGGTGCAACGATTTTGTCTTCTACGAACTTAGGTACTTCTAAAGCTATTTTAACTCCGATATCTCAAACTATTGCAGCAAAAACTATTTTAAATCCTCAAGGTATCAGTCCTAAAGCCACTGTTTTGACGCCGATAACAGGACAACAAGTGAAAGCGATTGCAGCAAAGAGTCCATCAAAAGGCAGCAAAGTGCAGTATCAGTCTGTACAACAAAAAGTGCAGTTACCTATGTTACAAAAATCGCAAAAGGTCTCAATGTCTTCTTCTTCGCAAGGAAGATCGGGACAGGTAAAAGGTGCAGGTAACACGATGATGTTGCAGAATCCTATCCCAGCGCAAAAAACTGTGCAAGGGAAGAGAATAGTTAAACAAACAGTTGTACAGCAAGGTTCCTCTGTTCAAAATATTACATCTCAAAGCGGTACCCAGCATGCAGTGGGTATAAGTCCGCAAGCTCAACAGAAAGGAAAGGCTGTATCTACTTCAGGCGTGCAAAAAGTTCTCGTTTCCCGTGGTGGTAGGCAGCAAAAAATGCAACAGAAGGTCGTTGCCCAGAAAGCACATGATCCTGCAATCACGGCTGTACAAAATATTCAAATGAAACAAATGGTTCCAGGATCAATGACAGGTGCGCCAGGTATGTCCAGGACATCGCAACAGAAACAATCGATTGGTAGCGTTACACCCACGAAATCTGGTAAAGGTCATGCGATCAGTAAAGCTGCCCAACATCAGAAGAATTTGTTGAATATAGCAATGAATTCAGCGGCTACAAGTAACGTGAACACGAATCTTTCCGCGTCTTTGTCTCTTCCGCCATTAGAATCTGTCGATTCGGACAAGAAATCGAAACTGGAGAACATACTTACCGAAGCTGTTCAGAAGGAACAACTTAAAGCGGAAATGGAAAAGGTCGATGAACCGAAGATAACAGCACAACCGCAAATAATGGCACTGCCGACAGAAAGCAGCGATGGAACGCAAACTTACGTTTTAGTAACAATCGACGAACAAGGACAGATACAGCCGCTTGATAATAATGCTCTTATGTCATTAGAGGGCACAACACAAAATCCAGACGGCACAAGAACCTTGTACATAGATCCCAGTTCGTTAGGAGAAGCTGGTACATTAGACAACATTGTGTTGCAATTTGATAATGGCGTACTACCAAGTATACAAACCAGTACCACGGAACCTGTACAGACCATTATCTCAGAAAGCTTCCCCACAGCGGAAGTAATACCGACATCGAATCAAGATATCTTGGCGGCTGCTCTCGCTAATACAGATTTCCAACAAGAAATCAGTTTATCGGAGAATCCAACGGCAAGTGTGATGACTGCTGGCTTGACTCAGACAAGTCTGATCAATCAGACTATATTACAATCAACTATCATCCCTCCGACAGAACCAATATCTTCACCTTCCGTGCTCGAAACGTCGTTGACTTTAAATCAACCCATAATGACTCCACTAGAGGTACCTACCAGTTTACCGATACAGGCAGAAGCACTTCCGACATCTACTGTGACAGCCATCCCAACGTCTCTTGAATTACCGATCACGATCACAAATCCTACAATTTCTTACATAGCAACGGGCGAAACGCAAATCCAAATTCCCGGCAATTCTATGCCAGATATTGGAGAAATCATGGAAAGTCCAAGTACCGCGGATATTGTAAGAACAGACATTCCTGTAACTACTCAGTATCTGGTACTGCCGGGTTTGGAGGCTAATATTCCTGCAGAAGTACAGCACGAGCAAAGCGACGCTATATCAATACCAACTGTTTCGTATTCGGTAGCGATACCAAATAATGTAGTTCTGCAAAGTTCGCAAGTTCAAACGACCCCTTCGATGCCGATAATAGACGACACCTTCGCAGGAAATGCACAACTTAGCTCTAACGTAGAACCATCAATAACGACGGAGCAAAGCTTTGCGGAGGTACCGGTTACCGAGATGCTTGTCTCAAAGTCTCCTACTTCTACGGAAAGTGTACAATCGCAAGACACCGTTGTAACATCGGAGGTGATAGTACCTCAAGATGACCCTGCATCTTCTCAAGAATCTATCGTGTCAACGAATGAGGTTAGTGTTTCAAACGAAGAACAGGACGCAGCAATGCCTTTGCAAGAAACGTATTCTTCTCAAGAAGAACCCATTAAGTCGGAAGAAATAATTTTACAATCTACAATTGATAAAGAAGATGATAAGTCTGATGTGACGATGGACGAACGAAGCAAAGAGGATAGTAATAACGATAGTGTAATGCATATGCAAATTGTAGAGCAACCAGATGAATCCATGACGAGCAGTATGTCCATAGTCGACGATACTGCTGTAGTTACATCTGAGTCCAGTGTAAAAATGCCGTCTGTCGAACGTACGAGCTTCGAAGAGTCGAATGAAATCGATACAAACACCTCTCTGGAAGCAAAAAATATACAGAAACTTAAAGAACTGCATTTCACTGAACAGTCGGACGGGAAGGTCGTCCACTCTCCTGTAACAGAAGAACAAGCAGCAACATCTAACGAGGTGGAAGGTGCTCGAGAAACGTCTGAAATTTTACCCGCCGAGTCGATGAACCGTTTGGACGAGCAGAGTATGGATATAGACGAAGCCATCGGCTCCAAACTTTATGCTGCAAGTATAATAAAGGAACCAGAAGATTGTCAACGAGACGAGCCATCGTCTCAGGGAGAATCAGAACCGGTCGAAAGGAACATAGACTTGCAGTTCGATGAGACGAATTCGGAGACTAGTCATGAAACACCGTCACAGTCCTATGAACAGTTCGGTGTTGCCGTGACTACCGATTCTACTGATTTACCTAGTCAATCTGCTACGAAATCAGAAAACTCGAGGGAGCCATCGCAGTCGATAACGTACGAACCAATGGAAACGGACGAAGAGGCGATCGTCACAGAGCCGCCGAGTCAATCGTTTGAACATTCGAAGATGAACGAAGCTTCGCAATCGTATGAAACTTCCGCGGAAGAAAGTACGAACGCACCCACGCAATCCTTCAACGAGCTCATGCAGAGTCAAGATGAAAGGACAAGCATGGACGAAGGTATAGACGATCAAACGTTCCCAACCCAGAGCTACGACGTCGGTAAGGCTGAAAATATTCCAGAGAACTTGGAAACCGATACGGAAATTAGCCAAGAGGGAAACATGCCGTCTCAGTCTAATGACATCGGTGCTGACGGTATTGGTACATCATCAGTGTCCACGAACAATTCCGGGCTGAACGAGGATGAAACCGCGAGTTCGTCGTACGTTCCAGAAACGCCTGAGAATCAAGAGAGAGATCCAGACCAAGAAAGTGCAATAAGTACATCATCCTGCGAGATTCCACCATGTGCAGAATTGAATATCGCGTCCTCTAGCGGGGAGCACACAACCATCCATGACAATGGAGTACCTGAAATACCAACATCGTCGTACAATCTGAATCCAGACATTACATCGACTCACGTGGATTCAGTGCCGACCTCTAGCTACGAAGAACAAAATGTGTCGACCTCGTACGAGGTGCCGATTTCAATGCCCGGCCTAGAAGAGACTCCCTCGCAGAACTTTGTCACCGAGAGTACCGATCACAGAAACGAACCTTCCAGTTACTATGCCCATCACCAAGAAGTGACAGCAAGTTACTACGAATCGGTTGGCCAAGAAACAAATTCTAGGCTGGACGAAGATCCACAAGAGGAGGTAACGCCCAGTTATTATGAGGCTAACCCACAGGAAGCCAGTCAGAGCTACTTTACACCAGAAGAAGCTACGCCGAGCTATTCCAGCCATAATGTTTCGCCGAGTTACTATGATCATAGACCAGAGAGCGAGGCGAGTCAAAGTTATTACTCAGCGGATGACATACAGAAAACAGAACGATCCTCCTCGCAGAATATCGAGGCGTCCCAAAGCTTCTACCAAGAGCAATCTGACGAGTTAAAGTTAAGACAACAGGGAGAAGCTACGCCGACCTATACCGAAAGATATCCGGTCGATTACACATTGGAGAATTCCCCGATAGAAAGGCACGATCTTGTAGAAAGTTCTGTACCAGCCACCAGGCCTACAGAGAGGTAATACATTATGATGGGTAATAGCATTACGCTATAAGGAGAGTCCTTGTTTTTTTATAGACTATTGATCATTGCAGCCATCGATAGATAAACTCGAGTCTATTTTCAACTGTACATATAATATTAAGATGATAAGTGATTAGGTGTAAGGTTAAAATTAGAATATTACTATAATTTATATATATATATATACATATATATATATATAAATAAATATATATATACCAACATGTATATATATACATGTTAACACAATGTGTGTATATATATCGACAACGGATATAATCCGTAAATAGAATTCAATATCTAAGCAATGTGTAATTAACAGGAAGAAATATGGTTTCATTGCAAAGACACTATGATCTTTTATGATCGTTTAATATATTGAAGCTCTGACGATACTTCAGTATGATGTATCCGTAACTTCATTTTCACTCTCTCACATACAGATATGTTAATACTTTGGCATACGACAAATTCCTTACTATTATACGTTTTTAAATACCATATGCATGCAATGTGTATATTGTAAAATTTCGCCTGTGGATCATTGGAGTAGTAGTATGATTTACCGATCGCTCGTTTTAATTATATAATTGTTGCAACGAAACTGTCATTCGCTCTATTAGTAATTCGTCTCGCGATCACGTCGAGACGAGTAAGAATTGTAGAATATTTATACGTTCTCACGGGTTTTTATTGAAAATAATCAAAATCACTACTACTCCGTGGCATCGAGTTTTCACGTGCGGTCTTTTGTCTAACGCCCGAAGGAACATGAAACTCGAGTGATTGTATGATAATGAATGCACAATATATCTTCTAATGAATTATCAATAACGTACGCCCCGAATAATTTGTAAAATACGCAAGTAAAGACTTCTTTTGGGCTATTCATCCGAAGACTTAATTTTTCAGATAAGTTCTTCACTATCCTTCTATTTCGCTCAACGGACCGTCTGCCGATAGAAATTTTTAATGTTGTAAACTAATCGCAGGCCCGAATGATTGAGCGAATCGAGGATCGTGTTATTAGACATACAGTGTTTAATTTGTAGGGTACTAGTTTACATTTATGAGAAATAAAGAAGCCTATTATTTCAACTATAATGATGTGTAATCTGTGTGTTGATGCAATGTAAAGGATAAAAAACGGTTTACCGGGGAATCTGTCGTGTTTGAATCGCGTTCACGCCCGCGTAATTTTAAATTAATGTATTCGAACAAGTGGTGTAAAAAGGGAACGATCTGGTTACGAACGGAACAATTTTATTTCTGTAATATAATTAAATTCATCCAGATATTGCATAATTTGGCCATGAAGAAATTTAGAAGATACAATGTGCGAAATGTACATTTTAAAAATTTCCTAACATTAACTACAGCTTCGAGACATTTTGTGGATTTCAAACAAGACAGGTTTACCACTGTATCCTAATAGAAATGATTATATTATATTCTTTATAAACTCATGTTATCAAAAATAAATTTGTTTTTATTTCCCGTGGCGTTTTCAATCATGGTCACGTATGTACATATTATATTATTGTCAAGGGAAGGAAGTTTATTAATTACAGTTGTTAATGTCTCGCGAAAATAAATTTACAAACTTGATATCAATGTTTTCCGGGTAAACATAGAGGAAAAATCAATTTTCAAAATGGACTGAATCGTTAAGAATTAATTACTTGAATTCATTTTATACGTGTATGTTTGTGCATGTACATAATGTACGTATATGTATGTATCTGCATAAATATACACATGTATCTTCCACTCAAAGGATTTACATAAGGACATTTTTCTGTACCTATGAATAGTATATAATACTTTGAGATGGGGAAATTATGGTTACATTTTCTATTAAAAACTTTCTGATACAATCGTAAGGTGAGATATGTAATAGGTACATATTGCTTCATTGAAGTAATAAAGTCTAAGTGGCATAAAGTGATACTAAATAAAATAGCATTGCTGCGTTCTTATATCAGTAACAATTTGATATTTTCATCACTAACAATAATTAGCTTTTTATTTCTACAGTGTGCACGACATACACGATTGTAACTAAGAGATAAAATAAATATATGAATATTTACGTAACAGATTATATGTACAATGAATCTGTGTTATGGTTGTTTTATTATTTCAGAATATCCCATTATTAAAATCTTTGTAAAGAAATCGTAGTTTATCTTTTTTGAGTCTGTTTTCATAGTTAAGATTTCAAGTAATGATTGTAAAGAATTATTTTCAAAAATTTCTTATAAAGAATATTTTATAAAGATTGTTAAAAAAATCATTCAAATGTGTTGCGTTTTCAAGTTTTTTTTATTAATTATATCGTATAACATTCTAATTATTCAAAAATACTTTGTAATTTAAAAACGCGTAAGAAGTACGATTATTATCAAGATTATTATTATCAAAGATTTATTACCTAAAATAATCCCAAAATACAATAAATTATGTTACATTTATAGACGTATGGTCATTTATATACAATATAGTAGTATTTGCAATAGAAAGGAACACAGTCTTTGTGATCATTGTTTCGATTGATTTGAGTTTATTTCCGCCAGTATTGTGCAAACTTGTGTAATTGTTCTACTAACGCTGCCATTACAGCTGTTACCGATAAGTCCAACAGATTGTGCACATAATGGACTGCTTCTTCGTCGCTTAAATCCAGTCGTAATTTATCTTGAACTTTTTTCACAGCTTTATCTGGCTCCAACGCTATGTCTGGTACGCTGGCGTCGACCATTAATGAAAATAGGTTTAATATTAAATTCGCATGTCTGCGTAAGTGCAGAAATGCAGTGTAACACTGTTTTCGAAACTCGTGATAATGTTCTGATCCTACACCTCCCATAGCTTCGACCATTTCCTTACTTAATTTCATTGGCGGTGGTAAAGGTTTTGGATCTCTGCCCAAAATATACCCAAAATCTATGTGGAAGAGTTTTCCTGCAATGTAAATACCTTTCAAATCAACCACATTCAGCAGTATTATCATATTTTAAAATTTACAAGTTTACCTGACGTTGTCAGGAGCAAATTGTCTAAATGTCGATCACCAACGCCAAGTACGTACGTGATAATACAATAACCAGCTGTAATATAAATTTATATGCAATATGTATAGCATCGCTTTAACGTAAATCATTTTTTAGGAAACACTATATATTTACCACAACTTCGTACATAAGTATCCATAACTTCAGGTACTACGCCGTAAGGACCATTTTCAGAAGGATGATGTTTGCGAAAAAAGCTTAATATGGAACCTTCACTAGCTAGAACTTCAGCAACCGTTGTAGACTCGATGAATTGTAAAAATCCATGCCTAGTACTTGTTGCAAGTACCCTACGAACAGATTAACTGTTACTCTATGTAATATAATACACGATATAGGATTCATGAATATTTCATGATTAAATATTCACCTATACGGAGTGAGCTTTAAATCTAAGTTTTCTCTCCTCAATAACTTATCCATAAGCGCTATCGTTTGTAAGATTAATTGATCTTGCCTTAGATCGTCGCCATGTTTAAAAATTGCAATGTATTCGCTATTGTCCGTTGTCAGAAAAGTTAATTTTGATGGCATAAGGGCTGACTTAAAAAGACTTGCTCTAAAAGCAAAATCTCGAATTATTAAAGCATAAATAATTTCTATTGTAAAAAGTCAAAGTTCATGTATATATACTTTTCTGGGATGATGCCTTTAATACAAATTTCTGGATCTAAGGGGAAAGGTATCGGTTCGAAATTGGAAAAATTGATTTTGAATGCCGGATCCGGATCAGCCAGTAATGCTCTGAGCCTGTCGGTCTTCTTTTTACGGTTCCCACTTTCTCTTGCGACTGCTTTCACGAGCGCCACTAATTGGTCAATAAATATTTTTTGACGTAAAAGGAACGCCCTCCTTTTTTGCCAAACGGCATTTCCTTGGGCTAACATTGTTGAAAACATCGACATTACTGTAATATACATTTCTTTAACGCGTGTGTCTTGTTTCGCACTTATGGCCGGGTCATTTTGATCTTCGCATTCGATAGAAAGGTACCAATAGAAGTAATTCGCCAAGGTAGTATTCTGACACGCGCGAGTGATCAAGAAAGATGCTAAATCCATCAGGGAGTCTTGATTCGTTGAGAATCGTCCGCTCTCTGATTCACTGGACTGTAAATCATGCGTACTATTTGTGATAACCCAGAAATTCCATTTCTATATTGTATTATTTACAGCTGTAAGCCAATGATAATACTTACATTTGTTATAGGCGTAGAAGAGGAATCGTTAATCTGTACTTCTCTATCTAATTTTTCAACTTTCTCAGACTCTTTTTCCTTCATTAACGTTTGATGTGCTCTTTTAATACTTTCGAAATCTTCGTATTTTAGAGCTTGTACCAACTGTAATAAGTATAACATTAAGTCATCGTCGGGTGCTTGATTAAGCCGAGCTATAGCGTATCTCCTGACGGCCGGATGCGTGAACGCTGGACCAAGCAGTTCCAATGCATCCTCGGGATCGGGTGGAGCCCACAACGCCAACATTTCTAAAGCTTGTCGTTCTTCTCCCGCAACTTTCCAATTCACACATTTCACAAATTTCGTTAAAGCTTTTTTCTGACTGGACAAATAAAACCTGTACTTCCAAATCAGATCCTGTTCCTCGGTAGACAGCGCCGTTGTCGGAGGATAACTTAATATTATGTTCAAAGCATCGCGTACACTCGAAGTTGGTTTTAATTCCCTGGTATGACCACCACTGCGTAAACTTCGAGCCAGTTTATGATGTTTTGCTTCCACGAGATTTTCCTAATCATAACAGAACATTTGTTAAAGAGTGTCTGGAACTATAAGTAAAAGAAGAAGATGTACATTTCTATATTGGAAGTGTTTTTTCATAAGGAAGCTATTTTATGGTCAGACATACTTGTAAAATCTCATAATCAGGAAGAGTTACTACATCTGGTTGAGATCTGTGTTGTACAACTTCATCTCCATCCTTTTCATAATATACTACGGAGTACTAGAATAACAAAATATACATCACTGTGATAACAATAAAAGAGAAAGTAAGTGTATTTATGAAGTATAAAGTGTTGCTTACTGGTATACCATCCATAGTGACTTCTGGAAACTCAATCATTAAATACAAATACTCAGATGCTCGTTTCTCTCTTTCATTAATCAACTCTATTTCCCTGAATGTTAATCTGTCCAGCCAATCAACTTTGTTCATTTGTCCATTTCTGTGTTTCTTCACAAGCTTTGCCAATCGTTGCATCTGTTCTTTTCCATGATCCCTGGTCTTTCCTGGAGTACTGGTGGATACACTACCATCTGCCTCCACACCAGGCCACACTCTAAGGTCTAACATTCCCTGACGAAATACTCCATGCTTCCCGAATAAAGATATTGTGGTACCGCCCACTGATAGTTGTCTACCAGGGCCAACACAATCATACAGGCTTATACATAACTGAGCATCTCGTGGTAGATCAGAATAAGAAATAGGAAGAGTCACCCATTGGTTCCAACTATGAAACAGTCAAGAAATAAATTAGTGGAATCTTCCAATGTACATGCTAGATAAAGATAGAATTATACATACTTCCAACGCGAAGTGAAATGTTTATAAGCAGTGTGAACAGGCAAAGCTAGAGGTCTACCGCCAGCCCACACCTGCAGAGAAGCTGCTAAGTCTCCTCGTCCACCGTTAACTCCGTATAAACCGGAATATTTTAACATAGGGTCTATAAGTAATTTGTCATATTCTGGTCGTTGTCTTTTACCTTCTAAAGTACCTCTGCAAGAAACACATTTTGCAATTAAATATCTAAATGTCTGTTTTTCACCCGGATTACGCACTGTAATCCGATTATCTCATATTTAATGGTATTCTCCGTGGTCCAGTTGTCCCAATCAGAAAGATACACCAGAGTGCATCTATTATGGTAACCTGATACCAGCTGATACTGACGTTTATTGTATTCAACACACTCACAACTGAATCTTACATTTTAATTTGTATCCTCGTGTCTAAAGATGAACTGTACACATAGAAAAACTTATCATTAATGTCTTCCATGATTATACAGTTCATGAAATTGTACGCTGAACGCGTTTCGCCACTTCTTACTTCCCCATTATTCTACCGCGTCGTCCGCGCTACCGTGCATAAATACACGAATACGTGCTGCACATATGTATCATCACAGCTGTGTAACACCTACCAAAAAGGGGTTTAAAACGATCCGTAGTGCAATCTATAGCAAACTGTCCAAGTCTTAGCTAATTAACAGTGCCTTTTAACCGAAAGATGGCACCATCATGATACTGCCACATTTGCACAGACAAAATATATATAAGTTACGATGAACCTGATGAACTATACTACTATACACAAAAAAATTAAATAGTAATTACTAATGTAACAGTGGATAATTGTTACTTAATAATATCGAAAAGGAGTGCATTTTTATTTTCATTGAAGTCTAATTTTCTTATTTCTTTTATCATTATTGTTACATTACTTTCAAAACTGTCTAGTCTAATATGGAATTTTCTTTTAAGCAGCATTATAGATTAATAAAATAAATAATAGAAGAATAACATGTACAAACAGAAATACATGGGGTCCAAAGCGCAAAAGGAAATAATATGTAAAATTCTTTCTTTGAACAAATAGTTTATTTGATTTCTTGTCTTAGAACTTATATGTGCATCATCTTGTTGTATAGTACAATTAGAATACAAATAAGAGTTATGACATATCGAATTGTTTTTGTTTATTGTGCAAAAATATTTCAATGGATCATGTTTGACTAGTTTGCGCAATTAATCAGTAGAGAAAATAATAAACTTGGAAGATTTATTTCATCCAACGTTGTAACGAAACGTGCGTGAACCTTCCGCGTTATTACAATTATACTTTATAAATTAAACTAAATCAGCATACTGCATTCATTTAGTTACTACATGTAAACAATGTATAGTATTTTTCTATTTAAATTAAGCAAAATCTTGCAAAATTTATAACGGATTTGTTTATTTTTAATTTTTCCGAAAAATTATTTAATGATCATTAAACCGTGCCATATTGTTGTTTTATATACATACACTGTCAATGATCATGAATACAAAGTTTAGTTTTACATTGTTTCATATTATGTTGAACAGACGGAACTGTAAAACAGAAAAGTTTCTTAGATAATGGTGAGAGTCTACCATTTTTTACACTAGACTCACATTGTTGCATATGCAAATTTATCACTCATGTACATATTGTTTGAAGAAATAGAAAAATATATTGTTTTCAGTCATAGATGATATTTGCAACTTGTTTAATGTGTGGTTCCTTCTTCAAGCACTTTAAAACTTATTTGCCGGTTACAACCCTTAACTAATTTTTACGTATTCGAGGGTTTAGCAGGAAACTAAGTTTTACGTAATTTTGAAGAAATCAACCTGTAAGATAATCAATTAATTAAAAAAATACGTGATTTACTTCAGCCTTGCTTTTACAACAGTTGCCTGAATCAGTCTCTTCTCCCAATAAGGCCCTTTTTGAGATCCACAAATTTCATTCTCGGTACTCTGAATTAAATACAGATGATATAAAATATTCATCTGTTTCCTTGCAGTTTGAACAGACCTTGAAAAACTTATGTAACGTGCTCATGGTTCGTTGAGTTTAAAGCATTGCACTTAATAGTAATAAAATATACATATGTATATATATATATATAATTGACAAAGAAACCGACATATAAAACTTTTGTACAATTTAATTTAATGTAATCAATTTTGATAGACAGTGAAGCTGATTAAAGGAATGTCATTATTATGTACATGAGTTACGAAGTGTAAAATATGAGCTCAGGAATTTGTCCCTCGTCAGTAGACGTTCCATTATTATCACCAGACTCAATACTAAATTCGAACTTAACTTTTCCATTTCCCGAATCACTATCCACCATAACTGTTTTTAAACCCTTAGTTCCATAGTGGGAGTAAGGACCCTGAAATAATCATATTAATACATAATATGATTATACATACATCAGTATTAATACATAATATTTAAAAATATATAAAGAGTATTAAAACAATATCACTACTGCACCAACCTTAAATGTTGCTGACGCGGTATAAATCGTATTTGGTAGAATTTCTGCTAATTCTTTGAACATTAAACGATAAGTGTACTTAGAACCATCACAGCTAAAACTTGTTGAATTCGTAGCAATCACTTTCCCCGAAGCAGTGTGTATCAATTCTATTAATACTTCGTATATCGCTGGGCCATGCATACTACCGTAGACTCCATAGCCAATCAAAAATATACGCCTATCGACACTAAATCTGTGAACGTAAAAGATTAATTTTACAGAATAACAGTACCACCCAATGTGACATACCTTATGCGGTCACTTGTTCCATTGTATCCCCATCTACTTTTAGTATGTTGAAATCTGCATACAGTTTGTTCCTTGCCAGTCATACAACAACGGGGCATTGTTTGAAATTCAACTACTGGTTTTGGGTTCAATATGAAATACGAAAATAAAGAGAGAACCTAAAACGTATTTCATTAATGTAAAAAAAAATTTAGAAAAAAACTTATTCGGTTGTACATTAATAGTATTAACCTCTGAATAATTCAGAAGTCCTGATAGTGCTGGACCAGCAGTAAATTCTTCTTTGGACATTAAAGGAAAGCGAATCAACGAGAAAGCACTACCCAAAACTAAACGTTGATTTTCTGGAGTAACTGGTAGCTGATGCCTTATACATTCTGCCTCTGACCATCTATGTAAGACAATAAATACATAATTTCATACATAACAGGTAGATCTCTAAATGTATTCTTATATACCTTAGAACTGCTTGGAATATTTTAGACTCTCTAACACGAAGGGTGTCTCTTTCCAAGACAATTTTCAGTGTGTCAATATCAATATCTGTGAATCCATCCGCATTCAGTGCTTCCCTAGTAAATCTATCTATGGTGTCCAAGCAGACTGCAGCCAGTTGAGGCTCGTCAAACAGACGAGCTTGTGTCAGAAGCAAAAAAGCATTATCACTAGTTAAGTTACTCTTCAGATAATCCACACAGTGTTTCTCTAAAGCCGACACAGCATATTTCTTAGCCGTGTATAATGTCATCATCACACTCTCAGGATCTATCTCTATTTTATCAGTATATAAAAAAAGAAGCACTGCCAAGAAGGCAACAGGTTCTACATCAGGTACTTCTATCTCCGAAGAAGTTGTTGCAAGTGTTCCATTGAACATTGCATCGAAAACAGCACTTCCAGATGATAGGACTAGCTTATGAGCTGGTATACGTTGTTTCTGAGCTCCTCTCCCTACTATGAAACTCACATCAGACAGTATCTCATTATTAAACAGAAAGACAATCCTTTCACGCATTGTAGCCTTTGTACTCTGCCAATTATACGCAACACTAGCTTGATTATTTGTGGTTGTATTTTCTAAAGGTACATTCTGGGGTCTTCCTTCCAAATGCAATGTATTTGCTGCGTTTGTTGGAGGCCTACTAAAATATGGATACCAACACAATTACTATATTGTGTACTGCATGTAGTTGTACTCTTGTTGAAAGAGATATAGTGATTGCAAAATTGACCAAATTCAAAGATTGGAAAAATAAAATTGACAAAGATATAGAATATAAAGGATCTTATGTTTCTTTTATTTTAATTTAATTTCATTGGCTGTTCAAATGCAAACAGAGAACACAACTTTAAAAATGTCAATGAAATTTTGTAGTGATCTCACTAATAAAAGTATTGTCATTAGTTACTATATATATATATATATGATGATCATGTGCAATCACACGTTTAATAAATCTAGAAAACAATCACATTAAAAATGTGATTCATAATGTAAATTTTATTCAAATGCTTACTTATCCCCATTAGAGAATGAAGTCTCTCCACTTCTAGCCGTAGAGGAAGTTGGCTGATCCTCCTCATAAACAAAATTAAGTGCACGTCTGGCTCGTGAAAGGGTGACATTGACAATTGGCTGAGTGTTTCGTACAGGCTCCCGAGATGAATCTACGTAGTCGATGAGGCTCACCAACTCTAAGTTCCCCTGAGGATTGTCGCCGTCTTCCTGACTTGAGCGTAAATTATGCAGCCTCGACATGACATTTGGCACATCGTTCAGGGACGGTTCCGAGGACATTTTCATGCATGAAACGTAATATTTCTCAACGTATTGCCCCGTCTCTTCTAATTGCACCGTATCGTGTCGGATAAGGCGGCACGAACGTCCTCATAAGTTCGACCGCCTCGTCGCTAACGTTCAGCGTTCACTACGAGCGAACATTCAGACTTCAATGAGAAGATGTTATAGGTATCTGGTAAAAGGTACGAGCGTCATCGTGCAGAAGTAATCTCTTCACCTGTTCACTGGCAGGTGCCAGTTTTAAGATCTACATACACGTGTCTCCGTCAATGGCACCTGATCGGAATGTGCTCCGAAATAAATTGCGCTTACCCCCTCGGACTATAATCACAGACGAGGTATAGAATAGACCAATGATGGGCAACTCAACGGCCGCCAATTCACTGGCGGGCAACAGCGTGCAGCGTGCGGGTATATGGCAGTATGGGTGACATGTGTGAATGAGAGCACCATTATCTATCATTTTCTTCGCACACAAATATGTCGTTTCCCGCGCTTTTTTTTAAATTTTCAGAATATATTATTTTGCTATTATTTATTGTTTTTTCTTATGTTTTTGGTAAATTAAAATTAAGAATAGGAGTGGAGATAGTGCGGGATTAATAAATAACGAATATGTATGATTTGACTGTTTTTTATTGAAAAATCGTAAGAAAATATACAATTTACAATGGTATTTGTATAAATTTAATAACAGTTGCTTTAAATATTACTTATGCATAATACTATTTAATATAAAGACACCATTTTCGCGTGGCCGACACACGATCAGGTTGCTTCTATCACCGACTAGATATAGAATAGACCTATGCTCCAATGCTTTTTTCTGTCCCACGTTCATAGGGCTACATAACCCTGTTACCATTTTAGTGTCAATACCCGACGTTACCGATAAAGCATGAATTCTGAGTATTATTAGCACAAATGAAGTGTTTCATATTCCATTCATATTGCATGTATCTACATGATTTGACGGGAATAAAAATATCCGATGCTTCAGTTTAAGGGTAAGGGATAATGTTACTTTTTACATGTTCTTGCTTTATTCGTTTTTATATCTTGCCTTACATTTGTATATTTGTAACAGATAATTTCAGAATAGATGTAGTTTCATAAATAGTTTATCAAATCTACCTTTTGACCGGCGGCTTACAATTTCCCTTGCGGGAATGCCTTACCGTAATGAGCCATCTCGTAGCCGTGGCATTCCGGGAATCGGGTGACGTCACGGCGTGCGAGCGAGAGCGGGAGAGCGAGCCGCGGTATCGGTGCTCTCCGTCGGTGTTGACGGGTG